GGTTGGCGCAGCCAGAGCCGATACCACCCGAGCAAGGCCTGGACAGACCGTCAATATCTGGGCCAATGCCTCCTGGAGGCCTGGAATCAGAACGTGCACAGTTGGTGCCTGAGCTGGCCACACTAGCTTAACTACATCTGGAATCTGCTCTTGAGCTGGAGCAACTGGTGGATCTGCAGGTACTTCTCCAGCTGGTGCAAGAGCTGCACCTTTACCCCTACCGCGACCTCGGCCTCTCGTGGCCCTAGCTGGTGGTAGTGGTGGCTATCCATCCTGTCTGGTAGCACGTATCCTCACCATGGACAATAGGATATAGAAGTTTAGTTACTGGAACAATAAATCCGTACAACAAGAATACAAGAATGTGAAATTTCCTAATGGTTCGGCAGCCTCTCGAAGATAAGTACAGATGTCTCTGTACCGATCCGCAAGACTCTACTAAACCTGCTCATGACTTGTGAGACCTATGTAATCAAGGCTCTGATAACAACTTGTCACGACCCAAAATCTTAACCTGTCGTGATGGCGCCTATCGTGGTACTAGGTAAGCCGATATTTATGAAATAAGTCCAACACTTCACAGAAAACATATTTAAAATAGTTTAAATGATAACAACTTCCTATAAACAGGATAGAAACCCAACTAAGTACATGAGTATCTATACATTACAAGTCCGAAAAAAACTGTCTATGAAAATGTGAAACCAAATTCAATAAGTGGAAAGATAGGGAAGGAGAAACAAGGTCTACGAAATGTTGACAGCTAACTCGAAATCTCCAGAAGATCAACTGTGCGCGGAAATCAACACCCACTGTGTCCGGGAACACCTAGATCTGCACACGAAGTATTGGGTGAAGTAGGAGTACAACCAACTCAGCAAGTAACAATACTAAATAAAGAACTAAAAGTAGTGACGAGCTTCACAGTTATAGTTCAATTACAGTGATTTCAACATAAGAAAGTAGGCATGCTATCAAGTTCGATAAATTAGGTCAACAGTTATTACATGACTAGTTCAAGTGAAACAGAGTGTAATATCTTTCAGAAATTTCAAACAATGGTACATGACAGTTAATGCAACAATAATGAAATCAAATGCATCCTCTCAGGGCCACAGTCACTCCACCTTCCCATTCACTCAACACTCAGCACTCGACACTCACACTCAATAGGTACTTACACTCACTAGGGGTGTGTGTAGACTCCGGAGGGGCTCCTTTAGCTCAAGCACTATAATCTGCAAGGACAACTCATGTGTTGCACGGACAACTCACGTGCCATAATATAATATCTGGATCCGCACGTACAACTCACGTGCTGCACTGACAACTCACGTGCTATAGTGTAATATCTGTATTCGTACAGACAACTCACGTGCTATAGTATAATACCTCACAATCAGGCCCTCGGCCTCACTCGGTCGTCAACCTCTCCAGTCTGTCGGGCTCTCAAAACTCATAATAAGCGACCCAGATAGCAATGATACGATGAATCAAAAAAGAACAATAGAGACCGAGATGTAATATACAAATGAAGACTGAGTACAAACAATAATTTAGCAGATAATTCAACATGTACACGACCCCTGTGAGTCCCTACAATGCCAACACGTAGTCTAAACATGATTTGTAGTTAAATTTCTCTATTACATGGAGAATGTACATATAACAATAGATTATACAACTACACGGTTCCACGGAATTTAACCAAGTCGCAATTCCTACGGTGCACGAGCACACGCCCGTCACCTAGCATGTGCGTCACCTCAAAACCAAATACATAGACACATAATATGGGGTTTCGTATCCTCAAAATCAAATTTAGAACTATTACTTACCTCAATACGAGCAAATATGTACTCCAACTCACCCTTGTCTCGCGAAACGGCCTCTAAATGCCTCAAATCTAGCCATAAACAATGCGATAAAAATCAATATGGACTAAAAGAATCAACTCCATAAGAAAATGCTAAGTTATTAATCAAAATTAAAAATCGGCTCAAAGGTTGGCCCTGAGCCCACGTCTCGAAATTCGATAAATTTCACAAAACCCGAAAGTCCACTCAACCACGAGTCTAACCATACCAATTAGATATACGTTAATTAGGTGCGAAAATAAATGGGGAAGTAATATTATTTATGAAAAGCGCCTAAACTGTGCTTGAAATGTTTGATATAAAGCCAAAATCGCGAACCCTTGTTTTTAATAATCTGCCCAGGCTTTTCGCACTTGCGACCATATGTCCGCACCTGCGGAACCGCTTTTGCGATCAATTCCTCGCTTCTACGGAAGTCACTTATATTCTTCAGGCCCACATCTGCGCTCCATGTTCCGCACCTGCGGTGCCGCTTCTGCGGCCTTCCATCCGCTTATGCGGAAATAGTCCACTCTCTCAATTTCACATCTGCGGAGCCTCGCTCGCACCTGCGGGATCGCGGATGCGGTTAATTCCTCACACCTGCGTCTTGCCCAGGCCAGCCCAGCTCCGCTTCTGCGTAAGCCCAACCGCATTTGCGGTATAACAGGTGCGGAAAGGACCTCACACATGCGACCTCTTCTCACCTCTTCCCTGGCCGCTTATCCAGTTCACCTCTAGCTTCTGGGAGATCGCACCTGCGATCCCCACTCCACAGGTGCGATTAAACGAGAAGCTGGTGAGCTTCACCACTTCCTTCAAACTTCAAATCGATCCGCTAACCATCCGAAATCAACCGAGGCCCCCGGGACCTCAACCAAACATACCAACGGGTCCTAAAATAACATACGAACTTAGTCGGGCTTTCAAACCACCTCGAACAACATCAAAACACGAATCGCACATAGATTCAAGCCTAATAAACTTTAAACTCCCAATTTCTACAAACTATGCCGAAACCTATCAAATCACATTCGATTCAGCCCAAATTTTGCACACAAGTCACAAATGACATTATGGACATATTCCAACATCCGGAATCGGAATACGACACCGATATCAAAAAGTCCACTCCCGGTCGTACTTTTCAAAAATTCTAACTTTCGCTATTTCAAGCCTAATTCCACTACAGACTTTCAATTCACCATCCGAACACGCTCCTAAGTCCAAAATCACCTAACAGAGCTAACATAATCATCAAATCTCCGTTCCGGAGTCATTTACTCAAAGATCAACATCCGGTCAATCATTTCAATTTAAGCTTTCAACCTTGAGACTAAGTGTCTCATTTCATTCTAATATCACACCGGACTCAAACCGACTACCCTGGCAAGTCACATAACAGCTATAAAGTACAAAATAAGCTGTAAATGGGGGAACGAGGCTACAACTCTCAAAATAACTGGCCGGGTCGTTACACTGCTATTTTTCCTTCTTTTACTGCTTTTTCTTTGTCGTAACTGCCGTTGCTTCTTTTGTTTTGTTGTTCTTTCACTTTGTTGCTACCGTGCGTGCTCTTCTTTTTTAACTGTTATTTTTTTGTCTTTCACTGCTTTTTCTTTGTCAAAAAAGTTGCGTATACTTCGCTCGTTCAAGCTGTTTTTTCTCGTCTTTTTCTACTTCACTGCTGCTATTTTTTTGCGTATTCACTTCTGCTGCTGCTGTTTTTCCTTCTTGTTTTCTTTGAATTAATCAAGAATAAAGTTTAAGTATTTAGATTATTAACATAAAGTTTTTGGTGCTTTCATTCTTCTGATTAAGTATTTGGAAAAAAGTTTGGCAACAACATTTATAAACGTATGATTTCATACATGATTTTCAAAAAAACATGTACTCACTCCGTTTCAATTTATGTGAACCCATTTGACTGGGCACGGAGTTTAAGAAAAGAGGAAAGTCTTTTAAACTTGTGGTGTAAAATGAGGCACATATATTTTGTGTGGCTATAAATCATTGCATAAAGGTAAATTGTTTCCAAATAAGGAAATGGGTCATTCTTTTTGGCATAGACTAAAAAGGAAATAAATTCACATAAATTGAAACATAGGGAGTACTAGTTTAAGCTAAGATTTATCAGTGGGAAAAACATGTACAGTAAGTCCACTGTATTCATAGAAGTGCTGCCAAACATTAAATTCTGTTGGTCTACAATGATGAATAATAATGGCGCAAAAGTTTAAGCTACGATTTAATTATAACTTCGTGTCAGATATACTTCTTCTTTTAATTATGTTGATAAATTGCTTGTACAAGCTCTGTAATCCAGCCTCAAAACCCTCGATGCTCGAATCAAGTGTTTTTAGGTTAGCTGATAGCCTAACTACTTCTGTTGCTTTTCCTTTGTTGTCACTGCTGCGTATACTCCACTTGTTGCTGCTGTTTTTTCTTATAATTTTCCGTTCTCCCATTTCGCTTTTATTGTGTTTACTATATACTTCGCAAGTTCTACTTATAAGCTGTTGTTTGGTGCTTCTTTCTTCCTGCAGAGAATTTCCAAAACTAATATTGAGAACCGAAAAAAGTTGAAGAATCCTCACTCTACTGGGAAAAGAAGTTTTGCATTAATTCAATCTAAGTTGGTATATTACTAACAACTCATGGAAAATATTTTCTCAAGTTTGGCTCTTGTTTAGTTAATGGATGATCACCAGGAAGGCTAACTCACTTTCATATAACTAGGAAAAAGGCAAGGAATCTTCGGATCCTTTATCTTCAAAGGAACTCTATGTAGCTACAGGAAAAAGGAAACTTGGGCGATCATACAAGTGCTCGTATGAAGATACAACTAGTAAAATTTTGAGAATTTTGAATCTTTAATTTTCTTCTTTTTATTATGGCAAAAATGGTTGCTACTGCTTATAACTTATGAAAGTTTGAAGAGGAACACAATATTGCTTATTTTGCATATTGCTGCTGCTATGTTTCTATGCCTATCTTTTATGATGTTAATACATCTACTTCATCATGTTAATAAATATCTTATGTTGTTGTTGTTCCTTTTTCTTGCTTTTTTCTTAATTTGCTTAACTTATGTGCACAAATAGCGTAACAAATCGAATTATATTTTTAATATGTTATAGCACGTTATCTGATGTTATATCGAGATCTATTATTTATTTTTATTAGCTTAATTTTTATTTACTAGAATTCTATCTTTATGAATTTGTGTCGTAGGCTGAAATGGAGGAAATTGATGCATAACAAAATGAAAATGGCAATGAGTCCGTAGAGGCATTTGCATCTGTCATGGGACCTGAACATCCTAGACATCGAAGTTGTATGGACGGGGGGTTACAAGAACTTCTTTGTGAGAGAGTAGGATATTTTGAACCTTCTTCAAATGCTACAAATTCTCTGTAATAAATGGAGGAGAAGATACATAGAATGGAGGGAAAAATTGAGGAACAAAAGACAACTATCCGTCAAGAAGTTGTTGCAGATGTCCCTGCACGACTTCAATGTTCCGAAATTGATATTGATGCTAACATTATTCTAGAGGCTTTGGGTGATAATTCACCGGCAGAAGCTTCCTCTGCACAAGAAACAACTTTGCAACCAATCCGTCGTCCATCTACTAATAGCAAAAAGAAGGCCAGCTCATTCCAGGGATTAACTCGTTTACAATGTAATAGTTTTTGAGAGTTTCGGTAGGGGCGGGGGGTAGAATTTTCTTATATACATTGTTGTGATCTGCATATATTTAAAAAAAACAGCATATTTTGCTAAGAGAAATCGGAGTTAGACTGTCCTCCCCTTCTTCTTCTTTTTTTTTGGGGGGGGGGGGAATAAGGAGGCTGTCCTGCTCTAGTATCTACCTTTGAAAGCCTCGAACAGTTTTAGAAGTTCAGTCGCGCTAGCAACCTCCCAATCGTTTAGAAGTGTTCTGAAGGTAAAATTTCGCCCTTGTTGGCTATAAGTGTCTACCACTGTTGCTTGAGGAGGTTGCACTAATTTGAATAGATCTAGAAATATCTCTTTGAGAGGACCATTTCCAATCCAGTCATCATTGTAAAAAACATTCTCGATTGCACTAATTTTGATTTTAGGATTATTCAATCACATAGTTGGGTTGCATCTTTATAGCAAGTTAATAACTATGACTTCGATGACCCATTGTTTCGCAACAACTTTCATATGACGAGTTTCGACTTAAAGTGCTACTTGACACTTGAGAAAATATGTATGTTGCTTATGAGATATTGAGCTATGGTAGACTTCAGAGATAATCTTTTGTTACAATAGAACGCCAAAATAGTTGAGCTTTTTGTGGTTGGGAATTAGTGCATAACAGCATGAATTATTTTGCAGTTTTGGTTCAATTTGGTAATGGTCATGGAAACAATAGACTCAAGATGGTTGTTTCATGTTCATAATAAAAGAAGACATTTCTGTGGAGGCTGTATGCCTTGGCTTCCATTCGTAGTTGTATCAAATTGTATTTTTTCACTAAATACTTTGCCTGGTGTTTCAGAATATGTCTCTTTTATCTTATTTCATTAGTGGTATCAATATTGTTTTGTAAGTTCTCTCTGGAAAATTCATCACTAATCGCCCACCAGTGGCAATTAACTCCAAAACCAATAGTATCACATAATCTCCATATTAGTTGGTTGAATGCCATGTGATGTTGAAGAGTTTGCTGATTGTTCATTGTTTTCAATTTATGGACTTACTTGATTGCTGGCTTCTTCTACGTTATAGAGTTTTATGTGATGATGAAGAGTTTTATTAGATTGTTGCCGAAAATTTTAAGAATTCGGAGAGTTAGAAAATTTCCGAGTTATCAAATTGGTTATTCAATTACTTTGTGATTCAATTTTCTAAAACTAATTTATTTAATTATTTCTGATTTTTTTTTGTAGGTGCAGCGATTGCGGATGAAAGCAGTGATGAAGACCTTACTTGAGTGTTGTTGATCGTTGTAAGACTTTCTATTATAATGTTCAAGGATATTTTAGTTTAGAACTTTCTGTATGCAAACTCATCTATTTTGATTTTTGAATTGTTGATCAAACAATGTATTCATACTTTGTTTTTGTATATGGATAACGCTAGTTGGATATTTTAATTTTATTTCGTGGTTTATATAAGTTATGGTGTATAAAATTTCATTGCATAGAAAAATATTTCTCATTTTGCTTCCATAAATATTAGAAATTACAATTGTTAATTGTTGCAATAGAGAATATAACCATTCCAATAGACCCAGCAAAAACAATAACAGCAGCCCCTAATAACCGTTGGAATATATTGAAATATCTGTTGCGATATTGATTTGGAGGGATTTAGTTCTAATGATTTGATTATTTGCAAATGGGTTCCGAAGAGTTTGCGATGGTTGGGCCACGACATGTAGTTGATCTACTCTACAGGTAGGGGGAGTTCGTTATGTGTCATGATTTTGTTCTCCGGGATTGAGTTAAATGGAAGGTTCTTGGTTGATGAGGTATTTATCCTTCTTGTGATTTAGAGTTGATTGTGAGATTTTTGTATTTTCATAAGTTAGCATGATAGTTGCGGTGCTCCATGTGGAATTGAGAGTTCAAGTAAAAGGTTGTGGTTTAGTTTCGAAGAGAAGGTCATGCGCTTCAGACGACATGGGAGATTTAAGATGTTTAAGAGGATGTTGCATTATCTTGTATCGCCTGAGAAATATGTGCGTGTTAGGAGACGCGTCGTGTTTTAACTTGCGGATAGTTGACTAGTATTACGGTAATCGCCTGGTTGTTGGCTGCTGAGGTACAAGTTGTGCTACGTGGCTCAGAAGATTTATGTGAGTATTTGATGTGAGATGATTGTGTCTGAGTGGTGTGTTAGTCATTTGATTGGTAGAGTTAGGACCGGATATGGAAATTCTTATAGTCTTGAGGTTTAGAGAAAGGATGTTCTCAGAGACAAATTATTCCTTGGTTATGGACCGTGAAGATATGTTAAGAGTAAGACGTCTAATTGTTTATGTTACGAATATGTTACTATGAACTTTTGGAAGGTTATTTGCCTATTCTAAGATGGTCGGAATTTATTTGGGGGTCCCTTGGTAGGCCTAGTGGGAATGTGTACTTTACATTGGATCAAGTATGTTTACTCAGCACATCAATTGTTGGGTGTGTCACTGGCTAGAGTTGATTTTATTCATGTTCTGATGTCTCATGTGTTACTCTCTTAAGCTACAAATGGGTTGTGAGACTACTTGACTATTCACATACATGATGTGGTTCTGTTCGGGACTTGTGGCGAGATTCGAGAAGATGGCCCTTGGGGTGTTGAATTGGTTATTGCACCTTGACTATGGTTTCCCATCTGTGGTATATTGTGATATATGTTTCTCCGTGGTTATGGTCATGCACTTCGCGTGTTTGCTGTTGATATGTATGTGGTTGTTGATTGTGAGCGTTACAGATAGATAAGTATTTTGTGTGGATTGATATGTTTGGATCGAACTACGTGCTGCAACGGAGTTATGATAGGACATGATTCTTTGTGCTAATGTCGTGTTCTTTGCTTCTGCCTTGTGAGATGGGTTCATAGAGTTGTGCTTTGCAGTGGTATTTGTTGAACTTATTGGGCGGTTCTCTTATTTGTCTCTTCTTCCATCTTTGGTTATATTCGAGTTCTTGCTTGTTGGTTGCACATATTGCGTCATATGTGAACAGGGGGCATTTGGTGTGGCTTGTCAGTTGAATAGCGTGTACTGGGTAATATGAGATTATTTGACTTGAATTAGTGCAATCAGACTTGGATAAGGTATGTTTAGATAATAATGTCATTAATCAGCTCAGAGTTTGGCAATGGTTCTAATCGGGCTAGAGATCTCCACGGCTTGTTGATTGGGTGATGGTTACGATTTTGTACATGTTTCTTACATAATTATCATTATTGTGAAGGTTTGGAACAAGGTTTTATTTGATATGAGGTATGCTACCGGTACCGGGTTTAGTAATGAGCTACTATTACAGTCTAAATATCTTACTATGAGTTCATGAGTTTTATGGCACGTCGTGTGATTATATCCTAGAATATGGTTATGGCTTGATGCAGCTTGTTTAGACTTATATAGTGTATAGATGCGAAACTTGGGTCTTAAAAGGAATTTTGGATCTTTGACTAAGAGTTGACTTTGAGTCTATCGGGTTTGGATTGTTATTCCGGGACTTAGAATGGGTCCATTTTGTCATTAGAAACATGTGTGCAACGTTTGGTTTCATTCCAAGCTGATTTAATATGATACAGATGCGTTCGACGATGTTTGAAGGTTTGCAAGTTGAGAGAATAATCTTGGTCTTCGATTCTTGGTTTTGATGCTATTTATGATAGTTCAAGAGTTTTGATAAATTTGGATAATGTATTTGGAATCGTTGGTATGATTAGACGGAGTCCCGAGAGGTTCGGGTGTGTTTTGGGTCTTTGGTTGAGTATACTAGTTAAGTTACGGAGTTGGAGTTTGACGATGGTCAACATTGGGTCAAGACGACCTCTTTTCGGTGTTTTAAGTACTCGAGTAGTTTCATAACATGTTTTATAAAAGAAATGCATATATGATTTGTGTCTGGGAGGTTCCAAATAAATTCTAGGTGGTTTCGGATCATTCTGCTGAAGTTTGGGATTGCTGGTGCTGGCACATTGCAATTGCGAACTTTTTCTTGCAATTGCGAACTTCGCATTTGCGAACTTCTGGTCACGATTGCGAACATCCACAAATTGTGAACTTTTGGTCGCAAATGAGACATCAACAACTGGGTTAAGAGATGGAATTTCGGGATTTTAGTTTATTCTTTCATATTTTGAACCCTAAACTTGGCAAGGGGAGATTTTTCATCGGGAGTTTCATACAAGAAAAGAAGGTAAGTGATTTTTACCTATTTGTGATTATATTTCACGGATCTACTTTAATTTCTACGCAAAAAACTTGGAATTTCAATGTGAAATTTGGGAGTTTTGACTACACTTTAAGAAAGTTTATTTTGAGGATTTGAGTACCGATTTGGACTCTATTTTAGAATCTAATCATATATTTTGACTCGACGGGTTATGGGTCATCAAATTCTGGTATTGGTTTCAGGTTTCGGTCACGCGGACCTAGGGTTGATTTTTTTTAACTTTTGTGGAATTCTTCAATGCTCGAGGCTTTATTGATTTAGATTATCTCCTATGGAATTGGTTGACTTCCTTGATAGATTATTGGCTTGATTCAAACCGGTTAGAGGTGATTTCTCACGGAAACGCGATTTTGGAGGTTTGACCTAACCTGGATGAGGTAAGTGTCTTGCCTAGCTTTGGTTGAGAAAATTTCTTATACTAATTTGCTATATGCAGGGGTGATGTATATATGAGGTAACGAGTGTATATACATGTGCCATGGGTATTCATGCTCGGGGTAGAGTCTAGCTTACTATATGCCTTGTTTAGTTGTGTGTTACTTGATTCAATATATTATTTAATTAATCGACTACATGAGTACAATAAACCACGCTAGAGAAATGTTGAGACTATTGGTACTTTATGTTGAACATGATGAGAAAATCTTGAGATTTATGCTAAGCTTGCCTTGGAGGTAGATATACGTATGGCTGAACACACATTGGTACTTGTTCTTGCGATGTGCGTTGATTGAGACGTGTGAGATCTCTGTGTTACATGTGTTCGTCTTGGATGGCTACTTGAGTTATTTCTCCAGTCGAGAGATCATGTTTTTAGGATTATTATTTCTTAAGTTAGACAAGTTGGGAATTTTTGGAGTTGTTCCTAAATTGAGTTAGTTGTATTCATGTCTATATATTGAACACCTATCTGCATTCCCTATTGTTATGTCCTTGTACATTATGTGGGCCATTTATGAGTTTATGTCTTGATGAAAACTATGGGCATGTTGTATTGTTGTAATTACGGCACATGTTGACGTGTTGGGCGGATTGTTGGGTATTGGCACGAGGTTTCTACCGTGCGATTATCATTGATATTATTGTTGTTGTTGTTGTTGTTGTTATTTTTATTGTTGCGATGGGGAATATTATTAAACCGGAGCGACAAGGTGGGATATTGTTATTTTGTCAGGTTGGAGCGACAAGGTGAGATATTGTTATTTTGTCAGGCGGAAGCAACAAGGCGAGATATTTTTAAACAAGAGTAGGATTCATGCTACCTTTTTGTTCTAGAGTTGAGTAGCTGTGAAAATAGAGCTTTGCATTGGAGACGCACCAGCGTACTGGATTCATGCTACCTTTTTGTTCATGGTAGAGTTGGATTTCATATCTGTTTATGTAACTTCAAACAAATGTTGTATTTATTCCTTTCATCAGCTTGTAAATCTAAATCATAGTGGTTAATGACTTGTACTACTAGTCCTTGGGGTAGTTAGATTGATTCTTTTGTCGTTTTATTTTTAATATTGATAGTTTTTCATTATAGTAGTGACTTATACTGTTAGGCTTGCCTGGTGGGTTGGGTTAGGTGCCATCACGACTCGATAAAATATGGTTGACATTGACACTAGTTCGGGGGAAAATGAGGATATCAGTATTTGGAAAAAGTTTCAATTTGGCAGCTTGATGTCTCATTCCAAGCATTTTTCAACATTAGAGTTATGTGGTGATATGGGAATGTAACCACATCAATCAATGAGGAATTACGAAGAGGAAAGGCAAGAGTCGTACATGTTGAGATTTGAAGGCGCAACACAACAAAATGATATTCCTCAAATGAAAGCCAATAAATGAAAAATGAAGGAAAAGACATTTGGCTTGTTCATCCACTTACCACCTCCCACCGTTCGTGATCACAAACTTGAGTCCTATTTAGGTGCCCATTTCATATCCTCCAAGTGAAGAGAAAAGTTCTAAAGTTGACTCGCGTTGTGCCACGACATTAAATGTGGCGCTTTGTGGGAGGGAACCAATTTCTTTCAAATTTGTAAATCATTTTTAAGATTTTCTTTTTTAGAATAGTTTATTATATTATTTTTATACTAATCTGCAAAGTTTCAGAATTTTGGAGTTCATTTGAGCAGTTTTAGGTGTTGGAGGAACATAAAAAAAATAGTATGCTGTCTAATTCTGATATCTGGTTCAACCGCATATGCAGTCCTCTTGATCAC